GGCATTAGTATAAATTTTGCATATCAAATGAGCTTTCGCGCGTTCTGATTGGCTAGTTGACTAGTAAATCTGAGGCATTATTTACCACCTGGGTAGTAAATAATGCTTTTCAAAAAGAATGATTCGGCAAATTTGGTTTCAAAATCGACAAAATATTGAAAAAATCGTCCCAGAAAAGGAAAAAAGCACAAAATGTTGTATTTAACTTGAAAGGTAGGATTTAGTATTATATTACTGTGTCAAACATATTCACGGACAATTTAAAACTTATTTAAAACTCCGAAACATTCGCTTCAAACGTAAATCTGAAATAGAAAAAAAAATCCCGACTTTTGGGAAAAGCCGTGATATTCTTTTTAAAACAATTTTGTTTTGTATCCTATAAATATCTCAATTTGTACGATACTATTTCTTTTGACTATGTCGTGTTTTCATTGTGCTGTATGGTGTCCTTTCGCTGTATTGTACTATTTGTGTTTTAAAACTTGTAAAGTGAAAAGTGTATTAAAACTTTTATATTAATTCGAACGATATAGTTTTACATTTCATTTTACCAAATTTCTCAGCCATTTCCTGAACAAATTAATGCTAAACAGAAACTATTTTTTAATTCTAAGTCTGGTAAAAAGTCATTCCATCATTGTGTTTATATTCTAAGCAGAAATCGAGAAAAATAACTTTGTAATAAAGCAATAAAGTCGCACAGGAAGCCATTTTGAAAGCGTGCGTGTACAAGAAACACTGCAACACTAAACCGTAAACCGGTCGAAAACAGTTTTATTTCTGAATTTTAATTAAATTTATAGTTGGATAACTTGGATATTTTGTTTTATTCATTAAAAATTTATACTAAAACAATTATTCGCCTCAGGCTCAGTGATTACGGTGAATATTCACCTCGACTTCGTCTCGGTGAATATTCACCGGTAATCACTTCGCCTTCGGCGAATAATTGTTAAATATATGGATAAAACGTACAATGCACTGCGTCTTTTTCAACTATGGAGCTAGCTGTAAGTTAAAGACAGTTTATCGACAAAAGCAGATTTAATAGTGGAATGAACATTTCAAAACATTTTACGAGGCGTTTCAGACTAAATTTTACATCGAATCGAAGCCCACAAAAAAAATGAAAAATCACAAACCTACATTTACATATTTCGGAAATTCATTGTTTTATAGTTGAAAGTACTAATGTTTTAACGATTTTTCCGTTTTGTACAAAAAAATAATTACAATACAATATACAATACAATATACTTTATTTAAAGTGGTTTCAACACTTAGCGTCAAGGCTAGTTTACAGGATGTTTAAATTAAAATTTAAAATTTTTAAATTATCGTGTTGCCATGCCAACACTTGACGTGCAACGCGAGCTTGCGTTCAGTGTTGATCAATTGCCAATATACTTCATGTTAGATGAATGTTCGGAAAATGTAGGCGAGTGGTTGTTACGTGCATGCATTTCTAGTTTAGTGGTACGATAAAAAAAGCCCGGAGCGAGGATTCTAATTCCGCACGGCTATTTATACCAGGGGAAAGGGAAGCATTAGCAATCTAAAGTTCGCCAATAATCGCGGACGCGTGGCCATGATCCCAGGTCGGACTTATTCACTGATCTCAAAAATATGGATGTTTGCCAAGAGTGGGATAAGCAAGATTTCAATTTTCAAAAACATCGATTTGGAAAATCGTTTCATGCAATGAGTTTTGAAGCAGTCTATTTATTTAAGAGAGCCTTTATGAGTTTATAATCATTTCCCAAGTTTGTTTATATCAAATTGCTTACAAAAGAATTAAAAACTCTTGACAAAATGCAGTATAAGACTGAATACAAATTATATTACATTTAAGACTGAATACAAATTATATTACATTTAAAAAATTACAACCTATGCTATGGCTTACTAAGAAGATTATAAGTATTAAAACTAACACTAATTTGTTGAATTACGATTATTTATGTCTAAACAACTAGCGATGACATACGAATTCTTAAAACGTTTGTACAAAAAAATAATTACAATACAATATACAATATGTTGTAAAATGAGGAAAATTGGCCCTTCGAAATTTGCAGATTTTGTATTACGCGCTGAAAAATGCACAACATTTGGGCAGAGGGCTATATTTTCCGCATTCTAAAACATTTCGCAACCAAACTTTGCAATTTTACTAATTTTAACATGTTCTTTCTAGCTGTGACGATGGATTTTGTTCTTCTTGCCTAGATCAAAATTTAGTCTATAGCTGGAATCAACCATTGTTTGGTAATTTCAGTTCAGTCTTCAAACCAAATTGGTCTCAGCCGGTTTGGAAACTTACAGCATTGCTGGAAAGGAAAACAGTTCATGCTTTTAGGCAAAAAAATTAAAGCAACAAAATTCATAAACATTAAACATTCAAAGCAAACTTGCCGTATATTTCACGATTTCCCATAGTAAATAAATTCTTCTTATTTCTTCAAACAAAATTGCTTCAAAGCTCGTTGTTTATATAAAACGATTTTCCAAATATTTGTGTTTGAAAATTGAAATCTTGCTTATCCCACTCCTGGCAATCAGCCATATTTTTTGAGATCAGTGAGGAGGTCCACCCATACACCACGACACCACTTTAGACTTCGCATCTGCTTTCTTTTCCCCGGGTATAAATAGCCGGGCGGAATTAGTGCCCTTGCCGCGGCCTTACGCCCGGAATGGCGCTCCGTCCCGTTGGCTAGGGGATAATTGTATAAATTTTAGTTACACAACGTTTATTGTAACTTATATTGTATTTCTCGTTCTTCAGAATCCACACTCTAATATGAACTTCCTTTCAACAAGGAAGATGTATTTTAGTTCTACAATTTTTAAAACACATAATAAACTCCTGATAAATATTGGTAGTTTATAATAAATTCCGTCATTAATTTCACTTCCTACATTTAACGTATGTTGTACGTTTTCACATCGAAATATCATGTGTTGATATTAAACACATTTTTTGTTGCCAAAGTAACACACCTCAGTAAGCAGTGCAGTCCGTGTGTTGTTACCTAGAAAAGTGCCTAGAAAACGATTTTCATATACTATGTCTTAGATCTGAAATATTTTTAGGGGAACTAACACTTTCGAACACGCTGGTTTCAAATACGAAAAGTTCCCGCTCCGTATACCCGCAGTTTTCTCACGAACTGCTATTTTATCTTCACTAATTCACAGCAAATTTTTTCATTGTTCAACGATACGGATCGATCACGATACACGATTATGTCACTCAAAAGGACCAATTTCTATTTGTTTATGCAATCTTATGCGTGTTGAACGTAAACCACATATCTTGTCTTGACTTTGAGAAGGTACAGATAATTCCTTCTAACTATGACTCTGGGCTGAGAAATAATTCCTTACATGCGATCAAAATGTTTTATGCAAATATGTAAAACGGTAATCCATATGTAATGGATCAGCATTTAAATTTCCAACACAGTTTTCGAGACGTAAAGCGAATATTATTGGAAAGAGGACTTCCATGTACGTTGAAATCACTAAATAAACAGCTCATGGACATATTTCTCCAGTTCGTCGTAAGTTTACACAGAATATTTTATACTTTGGGACTGCATGATCTTGGTCATTGATGTGAACATTTATCCCTATATAGTTTAAGGTTATTTAGGATTGATCCTGTCGTAAGTGTTCTACCATCACCAATTGACAATATCGCCGTTAACGACGTTGGTTTCGCGTTACTTTTGTTCTAAATACCTTGAAGAGTTATTTTTCAGGCCAATGACATAGCCAAAAGACGTCGCACTGATGTTCTTGTGATTTTATAGAGATATCTCTAGAACTGAGGATTTTAGAAAGCGTTATCTGTACTTTCTCAAAGTTGTGGACAAGATATGTTGCTTACGTCCAACAAGCATAAGATTACATAACTCGAAATGATTCGAACAAAACTGGTCTTTTGTTAAAGGACCGGGAGACTGGCTAATAGAAATTGGTCCTTTTGAGTGACATAATCGTGTATCGTCACCGATCCGTGTCGTTGAACAATGAAAAATTTGTCGTGAAATTATTGAAGATAGAATAGCAATTTGTGAAAAAAACTGCGAGTCTACGGAGCGAGAACTTTTCGGATTTGAACTCAGCGTGCTTGAAAGTGTTAGTTCTCGTGAAATTATTTCAGATCTAAGACATGCATGCTAAATGAATGTGAACGATGTCGGCACACAGGACTAGTTTATTTTTATACACCTTAGCATGACTATGTATTTAGGTGTTTATTTTTACACACCTTTTACGAGAAAGAAGATGTGTAATTTTACAAACAAGTTTGTGATGAATACCCCCTTTATTCTTCGAATTTATGAGTAAAATTTGAATCCTGCTTAGTTCATAGCTTCAAAGTTTCCCTTTTATATAGTTTATCCATTTTAACATTGGTGTTGCGCCATTAACAATAATTTATTGAACAAATATGAAAACTTTTGCGTTGCGAATAGAATAGAATAGAATATATTTGCTCACAAAAAAATATTTACAATGGAAATAAAGTAAAAATACAATAATATAAAAGGAGCTAGGGACCTTTTGAAATCCTGTTGGACTTTTGATATAAAGTCCCTGTATTGTTTTGATTAAAATTAATTACATGAATCTAAATTGGTTCAATATATGTCATATATGTTTAAGCTAACAATATTTATACTAACAAGTAATTTAATTTTGCTTTTTTCTTAAAGGAAAAATGCGATTTTTGATTGAATTTCTTCATCAAGACAATTCCATATCGAAATTCCCTTGTTAAAAACAGTGTGAACACGATAGTTCGTTCTTTTATAACTAACGTATAATTTTGAAGAGTTTCGCGTATTATAGTTATGTAATTCTTTATTTTGAATAAAGTAATAATTGTAAACTAAGGTTTGGCAAATTTTGATCATAATTCATGCAGCAATTATACATAAATACTGTAGACTGCAAAGATGATTATTAATTTTGTAGATATTCAAAATATTTTGTAGGTATTCTTCTGAAGCACAATCGTCTAACGTACAAAATAATCTTCATTTTATTTGGTCTCGGATTCGGAAGGTTAGCTGTGCTGGAATTCGTCCGGTTTTATGCGTCCCGTATGAACAAAAAGCGAGACCAGACGAATTTGAGCACGGTTCCTAATTCATTCGTTCCCAATTTCATCAGAGGTCTTGCTATAATTGGAAAGTAAGCACATATTTGATATTCGAAAAACACTAATGCTTGGCTGGGATATTTTTTTAATTTTGTATCTACCCAAAGACACGAGGCAGACTGTCTTCCAAACTCAGAATTCATGACATCCTCTAGGCTATATGCTCCTCCCCCTGGAAGAAACGCATTCTTGCTATGGTAAATCCTAGTCGGTACATTAATTATGATGTCAACATTTTCGTTTATTCATTATTTCTTAGATTAATCGGATCAACCATGGATCCAGAAAAAGCCAAAGCTAATTTTTCCAGAGTATGTGCACTATTGGTAGACAAAGGACGCGATGCATTAAAAGCTGCTTTACATATGGTACATCCGCCTTCCACTTTAGCTGCCGTGTTAAATGCAAATAAATCTACCTTGAAGAAGATAAGGAACAGTGTAATTAATGCCTCGCAATGGAACTTACTCTTTCCAGTTTCGGGTACACCAGATTCGAACAACTTTGATATAACTTTATTAACCATCCTACTGCGAAATATTTGTGGATTGGCTTCACCAGCAGCTGGATCGGACAATAGGCCACCAGCCAGCGATACTTCTATATCCGCCAATATTTTGAGGATTAAAATTTTCAGAAATGAGGTCTATGGTCATATTGCAAATCCTAAATATGATGACACTACGTTTGAAACTTTGTGGCAAGAAATTGCAAAGCCTTTGGTTAAGTTAGGAATTCCTCAACAATATATTGATGAATTAAAGACAGTGCGTGTCAGTTTTAAAGAAGAGTGTTATATTGAAACAATAAAGGAATGGACAGAACTAGAGGATAAACGTTTTTCAGTCAATTTTAAAATTAATGATTCCGTCTTACCAAAGACCTTTGAAAATGGGAATCCCTCACAAGTTAACCAACTTACGAAGTTTGATTTTACTCGGAAGATTGATGACCTTAGTAAAAAATTTCATGGTGGTACTAGACATTGGTATTTTGAACAGGTTTCAAGTTGGTTTAGTAAAGAATATTCTACAGTTATGATAATGACTGCAGATATTGGTGTCGGAATGAGTGTTATGTCTGCAAGATTTTGCAAGCTATATGAACAGTGCGGCAAACTCGCAGCATACCATTTCTGCGACTTCAGAAACGAAGATTATAGCAATCCCAAGAGAATTCTCCAGTCTCTTGCCAGTCAAATGTGCGACAATGTTGATGGATTTCATGAGAAACTGACTGAAGTTCTTCGTCATGAGCATTCTCAAGATTCACTATCAGACGCATTTCGTGTTCTTCTAAACGATCCACTGCATGCCCTCGAGAGACGTGAGCCAATGCTGATCGTTGTGGATGCTTTGGATGACAGCAAAACTGATGTCAAAAGTGAATTTTTGGAAATGATATTTGAGGAATTTCTTGAATTGCCAAATTGGGTTAAGGTACTCGTTTGGAGTAAAGCGGGGTTTAATGCACGGAAGAAACTTCTACATCTACCAGCAGAACTTTTGCCTCGAATTTGGTTGTTGAACGCAGGTAATGTAAGAAGATTGCTTGTACGTGTTAAATTGCAAATGCTTGTTTCTGTACACTTTTTCTCGCAGTTATACTAAGGCAGGTTTCGATTACCTCTGCTTTGCCCGCGCAGGGGAAGCGGTCATAGGGTACTCGGTGGCGCAGTCGGCAGAGCAAGCGCCTTTTACCTCTGAGAACGTTCGTTCGGTTCTCGTTCCGTGCTCATGTGAAAACAGCCAGTCAACGCTCTACTGAAAGTCATGGGTTTTCGCCGGGCGTTCCGGTTTCCTCCAACAGGGAATGTTGACAGGGTGGGTTAGGATAAACATGGTTAGGAGAATTGTTGTAAAGATAATTAGTCTAGGCCAAGTACTAGGTAATACGTATGCGTAATACTTGATGTAATCGGTCACTGAAAAGCCACGTTGGGGATTTAGCTGAATAATACATGTATTGTATATAATATATCTCTTCATCAAAACTTGACTACAAAATTTCCACCTCAGTTTTACCGCCATATTTATCTTGTAATAAGATAACGTCGCCATAGTAACAACGGAAGACTCGTACAAGTTCATTGAATCACACATCGATCAGCGCGTTTATAGTTGTTTCACCCCCTATAATATATAAGCGCTCTTATTTCAACTTTCAAAGCGTGAACGCGTGATCGAATGCCCAATACTTCCCGTTTCGCTCGCGCGGGAAAAGCTTACCTAATGGAAACCGGCTTTTTGCTCAGTATATAGTTCGGTAATTTTAGATAACGCGCAACAATACGAGTAGATTGATCAATGAGAAACTTTCATGTTTAAACAATGCATGTTTATAGACAGCAAAGGCAGTAATAATTTGAATGTCGCCAAACGTACAATTACAAGTATGGAAAATCCTATTATGTAAATAACAAATTGATATTATTATTACCTTAAAAGGCAAGGCTATTTATTTCTGAGCAATGAGAATTTTGGTTACGATTCCCTCACAAAAATCCACTTTTTATTGATTTCAGTAGCAGGCTCTATTTCAAGCATAGAGCCTGACACGCAGGTTACAAAGCCGTTGAAATGGTCACTTGATAGTGGGCAAAGTGCTTATCGTGAATGTTTTATAACGGGCACAAATGAAAATTTCTTAGACTTTTTACGTATACTTTTAGTTAATAGATGTTCCCAGCATGCCGATGAAGAAAGTAAGATGTTCCATCCTTTTGACCAGCAAAGTTCCAAGGCTGCAAACAGAAATTTGGACAACGATTTTGCATTGGATTCCAAACCAATCCGCACTTCGGAGGAAGGATTCCAATTAGATTTAGAAGACGAAAAAGCTTCTCATCTATCGCCAGATTTTGAAATTAATGTGAAAAATCTTGAAACCAAGACTACTAAGGAAAACGAGAAGTGCAGTAGATTGGTAAATGTTTCGTCTCAAACCTCAGTGAACCCATCTGGGAAATTTCAAGATGGTTTAATGCACCTACCTCTGAAACGAAAGTCAAAGTCTAAGCAAGATTTTGAAAACAATTCGACTACCCAAATGCAAGATTGCGTAAGTTCGAATGAAGATTCGTCAACTGGTGAAATATGGAACAAAGGTAAAAGGAACAAAATTAAAAGTAACAAAAAGCCCGAACGCGAAATATCGGAAGATTCAAATATGATAGATCATGTACTTCCACAACAGAATGAATGGAAAAAAGGGAAAGGGATTGATGGGTATATTAAATATCCCGGGACCGAAAGAAAGAAGAAGTCTGATGAGATGCTGAAAAGTCTTGAAAATGAAGACAACTCGCTGAAATCAAGAAGTTTGATTCATTTCCCCAGACCACCAGCTCTGACGCTGTCTCGGAGAGTTAAAGAACTGGAAGAAGAAAACGCTTTTCTTAAAAATGAAATGAAGTCATTACGAGCTAAATACGAAGATACTTTGGCTGAGCTTGGGCGAATTGATGTTCAGAAAACTGCGAAGGAAAACGAAGAAAGAAAATCTGAACTATTTCAGCAAATATTTCGTTTCCCATTATCCGAAGCTACTGTTTTGCCTACCAGCAAAGACAGACCAATTAATGATATGCATGGCTCTCCAAATAGGTTCCTGAAACCTCATCCCACAAACGAAAAGGTTCATACACTATCAGATATCTATCCAGCCACTTTCGCTGAACACCATGTCGAGGGGGCAGGGGCATTGGTGCAAAGAAGTAATCTTCAACCTAGAAAAGAAGAGACGGTTACAAGTCACAAAGGCGAAAGCGAAATTCAAAGAGGAGATCGACGAGGTAATGAGGTATCAACGTTCATGAATAACAACGAAAATCAAACTCCATCATCGCAAAACTCATCGAGTAATAATACATCGAGGGAGAAGACAAGTGGCGGAGATGGAATCAATCCATCTGGAAAAGTTCAAGGAGCCAGTGGTTTAGAATCGACTTACCCCCAAAGCTATGAAAATTTATCTCTCTCCGTCCAACAAGACGATTCTGGAACAGAGTACATATCCCTTGGTAATGTACCACCTACATCTGTTGCAACAACCTTATACAACAACTACAAGCTCCTGTTATTATCCCTGGGTCAACGACTTCTTTCCTCCGACGTCGTAAAGCTGAAGAACTGGGCAAGTCAGAATTTCTCAATCAACGACCCACAGAATGTTACAGATATCCTCTTTCAACTTGATCAAAAAGCAGTCATCAATGCTTCAGATTTAAGTCAACTTTCTCTTTTCTTTGAATCCATTGTCAGAATTGATCTGGTGTATATTATCGACTCATTTCTCCTTGGTGATTATAATAAACTTCGCCAAACTTCAGCACCCAAACAAGGAGCAGCAAATGCAGCCCAAACATCCACGTATCGCTCTACTACAATGTATCAAAGTATGTTTGATGCAATGAACACTGCTCGCCAATCTTTGGTCAATCCAGGTGCTAGCGGTACATTAAAAGCCAGGTCAGTCAGAAATTCAGCAACATTAAGCCAACCCGGAAACGGCAATGGACCACAAAGATCTCTCCCTCAACAAACACAACCGCCAGGTTTCCGAAATTTGTCAGATACAGCCAATCCAGCATGCTTCCCTAGATCTCCAAATGAAAACCAATCCACCGCCTCTGAGCAGCAAAGCCTTAAACCTGTTACAACTGGATTTACTGCAAATAGAATGGCTGATGTAGTTGTTGCTGATGGCTCTGGTGTTACAAGTAAGTGTTTCTTGATATTTTTGACAGACGGGATTTTAAAAATTAAATACTTTGCAATATAGTAACGTAAATTTATTCATAATCTTTTTCATTGTAATTTTACCGTTAATCCGATGATGTTTTCAGTCGAGACGAAACGTCACTGTATAAAAACTTAGAGTGAAATGAACAATAAAAGTGAAATGACAGTTTGAAAGAATGTATTTGTATCGTTTGAAAAACAGATGAAAGAAGAACAATGGCAGGAAATTCTTTGACAAGAACAAATCCATCAGTGACAAACAACACACGTACTGCTCATGTTGTCGAAAGTAATGGTTCAAAATTTCAGCGTCCAGAAGCGGAACGAAGCAACAGTTCTAATTTCCAGTCCCCCGGCGGTTCTCGTAACCAGTACCTAGACAGAGAAGACAATTGGTTATGCAGCCATTACAAACGCCATTGTTACGTCAAATTTGAATGTTGCAACAGCTTTTGGCCATGTCATCGTTGTCATAACAACCAAAGCACGTGTGGACGAAAAAAACTTAAATCCCGTGACACACAAATGTTGAAGTGTGTATATTGTAGCAAAGTCCAACAGGTAACTCAAAATTCATGCTGTGAAAATATTATCTAAGCTAAGACGTCTGTATTTGTCCTGATTTCAGTCATGTTGTTGGATTTGCTATTGGTTTTTTTTGTCTTATAGTTCTTTCGTAGTTGTGCGTTTAATTAAACATTTGTGCGACTAAGTCAATCGCAGTTGTTAGATGATCGATATAGACAATAAATTTGAATCTCTATGATATATTATTTCTATTATTTAGTTTGGTCATTCTTGCTGCGACTGTGGTGCAAAATTTTCCGCGTATTACTGTGGATTGTGCAAACATTTAACTGGCAAAGATGATAATCCCTATCATTGTGTGAAATGTGGAATCTGCAGGTACGATTTGGTTAACTTACATGACATGATTTGGTTAACTTACATGACATGGCCTAGTTCTATGCAGACTATAATTTAGTTACACCACAAAATATATCCGCTGGTTAATACATCTGCTTTCTAACTCTGAGAAACGATTGATAAAATGATCCAACATTCTGTTGTCTCATCATAACTTCACCTCGTGATCAGAGGCGTAGCCCGAAGAAACGTAGCACCGTTGAAACATCGAATAAGCGTTGAAACGCTGATTTACGTTTAAATTGGTTGGACTAGCATCCCAAATATCGAGGATTCGATTCCAACCATGGTCAGGCAAACTTTTCAGCTTGCCCTGTCTGGATGCACACTCAGAGTAACACCACAAACATCATATTCACCTGACTACATAACACCAACACACACAACAATAGTATACTATCAATTACCTAAGACGTTTTTTCTTTAATTGAGAAGCATTTAGAATTTGAAAACATGCTTGGAAAAACCGATTTGGTTTAAAGGTTACAAAACACCCTACGCAGCTGGTTCGGGAAATTTTGCATTACGCACTCATTTTTTAAGCAATCGGCCGATAATTTGCAACAAATGTTGGAAACTAAACGCTTTACCTATTAGTATTGTCAAATAAGACATTAATGGTGTTTCAAATTTTTGTAGTATCTGAAATCCATGCAGGTACATGTCTTCCACGAGTTTATGTTCGTTCTGGTTTTACTGAAATTCTCTCAAAATATACTTTTTACTCCTTGATGATTGATCTAGAAACGTATGTCTGGGATTTTCGATTGGTTCATGCGTTATCAAGCTAGATGTTGTTCTTTCTAGACCTATGTTGGGACACAAATTAAATAAATGACATGTAAAGTCCTGTAACACAAAATACTTAATTTTGATTTTAAAAAATATTCCCAGATACACTTTTGTAGCTAAATTATGTCGCAATATTTTAATTGAATTTTGAAAGAAATTGGTTAATTAATAAAATGTTTGCTTTCTTAACCTTTGAATGCGTGCATATGTCGCAAAATTCATTCGGCTAAAAACAGGCTGTGAAAATTTGGAAGGTTTTTCACACTTACTGCAATTGCAAAAATATCTGATTGACGTTAATTTAACCAATTACAATGCAAGCGGTTTATTATCCATGAAAAGTGTTCTCTGTACCTGAGCTATGATCTGAGCAAATGAAATCCCCGTTATTATTCTACTTGATCACTTCGTATTGGAAATGCCTTGAGTGAGGGAAACATATGGTTTAACACCGACTAATAGCATGCAGGTCCGATTTGCTGTATTTTACTCTGTGGTTAGCAGTAATTATCAACAACCATGGGGAATTTGTGGAAGCGAAATTTGATACTTAACAAGTTGTCAACAGTAATAGCAAGCTCTCGTGCTAGGAATAAAATTTGAAAAACATTATCCTTTATAACTCATGCAATTTTAAATATTTTCAAAAAAATTCTTCTTGCATATGAGAGCCATTTTTAAGCTTTCTGAATGTGTAGGAATAAGAAATTCCATTTTTTGGACGACCTAGGGTGTGCTGTAACCTTACAGTCGTCAGCCAGAGAGGAAGCCGGAAAAGCAAGAGTCACTGAACAATTTCTATTAATGAGGGATGAACCCCTCCTTGGTGTACCACTGGGATAATATCATGATTGCGGGTATTCCCTTTGTTTTCGCAGGGCAATTAATAACTAATACACCTCATTATATTCATTTTTCTAATCCTACCCGCTTTTACGTCATGTCAGGTAGAATTAGTTGTAATGCTACCCGAAACGACGTCAAAGCGGGTACGATTAGAAAAAATGAATATATATGAAATCGCCAAAACTAAACAAAGACATGGAAAACAATTATACCATTTAATTTCGGGTCATTTAGTAAAATTTTACTAAATGACCCTCATCGATTGGCGCCGAAGGGAATTTTACTAAACGACCCTCATCGGGCGGGAAGTTTTAATAGCTAATTCGCCTCTTTCTATGCTATTACTTATAAAAACAGTCCAAAGCTGATAAAGTTTCCCTGGCAGTACATAATTTCAGTGAAATACTTTATTTATTTTAATTTAGAATTCATGGAGATCGTTCGTTCCATTGTGATGTCTGTGGAGTTTGTTTGGATGTCCAACTTCGTGGAAATCACAAATGTCGTGAAGGTTCTGCCCATGATGAATGTTGCATTTGTTTGGAGGTAGTGTATCAATTCGAGCTCTTCATCTCTTCTTTCTTTTTCTGAACAACATTCTGCTAATCGGTGTGAAATGGCATAAAGGTTGTTCTTCACTTAATCATCACATAGTGTTTGTTGTGCCAATGGCATTAGTTGCATTGGTGCTTACAAAACAACTGCATAGGGTACGAATCACTACAATAGGGCTTAAGTGGAAGCCGAATTTAATGGGCTCTCAGCATTGACCAGGGTTATAAAACGGATTTTAATTTCTTTTTCGTGCAGGATGCTTTCACTGGATGTCAAATCCTTCCTTGTTCTCACAAAGTCCATAAGGAATGTGCAACTCAAATGATAAGGAGCGGAATGTGAGTACCTGTACTTTTATAATTTGGATACATTAAATACGATTACACCGTACAGAGGTAGGAAGTATTGAGTACATATTGTGAATTCATGTATTCTTGTCTGAGGAGAGGCGAGTCCTTTCAGTATGAAATGATAAAAATCCGAAACTAGTCCATTATTTGATAGAGTGGACGGTACTGAGCTCGTGGGCGAGGTGCAGTCTATTCCCTCGAAAAATAGATCCTTGGATTGAGGCATTTACACTATTTAAAATCCTACTGTCGTAGAGTTACCATTGATTACTACCAGTCTTTTTTTACTTGACTTATTCCTTTTTATTGGAATTCGTTATCCTGAAAAGTTATAAGCACAACCTTTCCACTACTGGCTGGTACAGGCAGAATTTGAATTTCAAATCGTGATTGAGTTAGTGCTTGCCGACTTCAATCATAAAGCTACAATCTTTGCCAGAAACTATGGAATTTTATATGATTTGAAAGGAATAGCGCCCCCCGTTCCCCCAGTTCAATGTTGGGCCAACAACAATCTGACGTCTGGATGCGCGGCGCCAACATTGAAACGGGTCGCGGGAGGGAGGGAGGGAGGGAGGGAGGGTGGAAAGTATGTATCAGAAAATGGTATATTACAACCGAATGCATGTGAAAACTAGATTGTCCCAATCTATATTGTCAAAGATTGTAGAGGTACTACAATTACAGTATCAGCAGGTAGAATTTCCCTGCTAGTGAAAATCTATCCAGAAACAAAATGTGTATACCAGCGAAATTGAATCAAGATTCTCAACGACAAGATAGTATAATTAGATCAACAATTGTTGAAAAGCTGCCGTGATGACAACGAGCAATTTCGTTCTCGACCAATCAACGCATTTGTTAACAATTTCGCTTTAAGCCAGTCAGAATGGGTAATTAGTTATTGTAGGCAGTTTCCCTGCGTGCTGAGAAAGCCCACTTCCGGTAAAAACATACATTTGAACAGAAAATATAGGGTCTTAAATAAAGCTTCGAGGGGGTCAGGATTTTTAATTTTTTATTGAATTCAACGTGACAAGATAAAATAAGAAATTTTCAAAAAAAATTCTCTCGATTTGCGTTTTATTGACTAGTTCTAAATTTATCGGTATTCGAACTTACGCGCTTTTTATACTCCGCTGTTTCCCCTGATCAATTCTAAATAGGCAGTTTTACTGTATTTTAAGACTTGGATCTCAGTTTAAAAACATCGTCTATGCAAAACTAGCATGTAATAATTGTGATTTGGGATAAAGAGATTTTTTCAAACGTGATTATAAAGCGTGTATAAAACAAGGAGTACATTTTTTTATGCTTAAAGGCTCAGTTCAGCCTTTTGAATGATGGTTTTTAAGGTGCATTTCAGCCCTTTTAATTGAAAAAACTGACTAGGAAAGTCAATTAAGTACAGTATATCTTATATTATTTCCTTTTCTGCTATTGTATAGCTTCAAAACAGCAAGTAAGACTCCCACTTTTAGCTTTTTAAAACCAAAAAAATGACTTTGGAAAGCCAAACAAATGTACACAAATAAATAGACAATAAGACGCCGACATTTTGTTCGCTGGCCTAACCACTTTGATAAGCCAACCAAAACTAGGGATAAAATGTTCTTAAAATTGTTTTGGATAAAGGACATGCAAGGTTAAGGAACACATATTCAAACTGTATAAAAGTATAAAACTGAAAAAAGACAACACAACTCACAATTTGGCTCAAGCCTTCGGCTTTTCCAACAAAGAAGACAAAACCCTTTAAAGAAATATCAATACGTAAATGAGAAACACTGTCAGCACTATGTGAAAATCAGAAGTTTGATATGGTATTGCAACGAATGCACGAGGAAACTCCAAACATAAACAACAACAAACTTTGTTGCGATGCTTAGTGGAATTCACAAGTTACATAAAGCTTCAAACGTTCACAAAGGCGAGACAATTGACAATTGCCTATACAGGGTGTATAAAAAAGCGGAGTCCTCACGTGAAGTGTAAATTTCAAAGCGAATATGAAAGTTAGACGTTTATACTTTGGCTATTTTATATACTTTATTTTATAAAATTTGGAGTTATTGCTGGGGAGCTGTGTCAATTTAAGTAAGTGCAATTGGAAATAAAAAACGTAGATGTGTTGAATTCACAATTTATTTAAACGTTCCAAAAAATAAGTTGGAAGTACACGTTTACTCAACGTGGCCTCCATTTCACACAAGTTCGTTCTTTGTCTCATATCCAAGACAACTCTTCTTCCCGAGTTTCCTTTATTTCGATTTAAACTTTATGAGGTGGTTCTTCCATTCAATGCATGCAGACGGTATTTGTTGACATTAAGCCAAACGCTCGATGAAGATTACGTCCTGGAAAAGCTATTGGAAATTGTCTTAGATAGATAGATAGATGGATGGATGGATGGATGGATGGATGGATGGACGGACGGACGGACGGACGGACCGGCAGGCAGGCAGGCAGACAGAGACAGACAGACATATTTTGATTGATTGATTGATTGATTGATTGAAATTTTTATTTAACCACGGTGGTTTTATCAATTGTAGATATGACGTATTTACATTTGTTCTTCCTAAAAGCCGTGTGTCTTAATATTCAATATAAAACTATATACAGAAAACATGTTCTAGTTGGCACAGAATATAGTCCAGTCTAACATTTTTACAAATATTTTAAGTGATGGTGCGTCTTTTATCTCATCCGGAAGAGAATTCCATAATTTAGCACCAGTGAAGGCAAAACTTGAATTGTAATACAGTGTTCGATTTTTTGGAAGTTGGAAGGTTATTTTAGACCTTCTGAAATTATATATATCCAAAGCATGACAATGTTTAAATATGTCTATTAAATAAGATGGTGCATTACCATTTACTATTCAATACATCCTCATAGCCTTTTGTTTATACCTCATTTCCTGAATATTCATCCAGCCAAGTTGTTTTAAGAGTTTTGAGGATGATGTTGAGAAATGTGCCCCAGTTATCACACGGGCAGCCCTATTTTGTAAAATTTGTAGAGACTTGTCTAATGTTTGACCAAGGCTGTCCCAAACTATGGAGCAATAAATTAAATATGGTTCAATTATCGCCCGATAGGGTGATACTAGGTTTTTTGTGTTAAAATGGGCTTTAATCGCCTCAAAGTAGCAATATTACGGGATACTTTTAAGCGAATACTCTCCACATGGTTTTCCCAAGTTACGTTTTCGTCTATGTTTACTCCTAAGGATTTCACCGAACGAACTTGACTTAATGAAACACCGTTTACTGACAATGTTATTGAGTCTCCCAAGGCCGCTAGCTTTTGTCGAGAAGCATTAACCATGAAATCGGTCTTTAAAATATTCAGTGTCAACTTGTTTGCACAAAGCCACTTGAATATTTTATTAAGCTCAATCTGCATTTTGTTTTCGACCGATTCCAAATTGCAACCTGTGGAAGTCATATTTGTATCGTCAACAAATAGCCTGGCAATTCCATGTTCCAAACAACTGGGTAGGTCATTTATATTATAGGAAAAATAAGACCGCACCCAAAATGGAACCTTGTGGAACCCCGCAAGAAATGGTTTCTTCATTTGAATATATGCCATTTACATGACAAACTTGTACCCTATTTGTCAAGTAGGATTCAACCCATTCCAAACTACACTCTATCAAACCATAACAAGCAAGTTTCATTTGCAAAATTTTATGGTCAATGATGTCAAAAGCCTTCTTTAGATCAAGAAAAATCACACCGTTTAACATCCCTTTATCACTATTAAAACACCATTGATTTGTCATATCCAGTAAGGCTGTCATGGTAGAGTGAAGTGAACGGAATCCAGATTGACGGGTATTGATTAGTCTATGTTTAGATAAATAAGCATACATTTGGTTATACACAAGGCGCTCAAAGAGACGTGCAATTGAAGATAACACCGAAATAGGCCTATAATTATTTGCATTATCCCTTTCCTCTGTTTTATGTAATGGAAATACTTTTGCAATTTTCCACCTTGTCGGAAATGTATTTGTTGTAAGAGAAAGATTGAACAAATTTGTTAAAGCTTCATAAATATAAGGACCAGATATTTTTAATAATCTATTTGATATTTTATCACAGCCCGAAGCTTTACGCAAATTTAATTTGTTTATTAATTTAAAGACGTCTTTAGAATCTATCTTTTGAAATTCAATTGATGATTCAACCTGGGTCATGTAATCCTTAGCTGTTGCTACCTTGCCTAAAAGGGGAACATTGGAGGCCAATTTCTGACCAGTTCCAACGAAATGTTTATTAAGCGAATTTGCAATGTCAAATGACTCGGTTAAGAT